CAAGACACCAAATCTGCCAGGTCTTGATCTTGGACTTCCCAGCCTCCAGAACTGTGAGAAATAAATTTCTGTGGTTTATAAGCCACTCAGTCTATAGTGTTCTATTACAGCAGCCTGAACGGACTAAGGCAGAATGTATTCTAAACCATAAGGAAGGGAGGAAGATGTTTGTTAGGATTTGTTTACTGGGGGCAGAAGTTGCTGAAGTGAGAATGCGATAGAAAGAACCATGCCTAAGGGTTAGCGTCGCCATCATGGCTGGGTGCCCTCCGGTGTGTACCTCCCTCTCTGGACTTCTCTGTTCCTTCTAAGTGAGCATTTTGGATTAGTGCTTGATAATTTCCCAACATTCATCCAACTGTAAACCTCCGTGAGCTCAAGATGCTGCAACCTGAGGCTGTTTGAAGGTGGGCTGTGGTAGCAGAGAAGGGCAGGGGAAAGCAGGAAGGCAGTTTGGCATGGAGATGGCAAGCACTTTGGTGTCATGTGGCCTGGATTTGGTTCCCAAATCCACCGTGTAATAATTGTGTGTCCTGGGGCAAATTCTTTCTTCTACATAAGCCTCAGAGTCCCCATCTGTAAAGTGGGAAGAATGACGTAAACAGCTTAGCGCCCTCCTGGGTACAGAGTAAACTCTAATTACGGCAGTGCCCTGGAGAGTCCAAACGGTGTGTACGGTGTGTGTGTCTCTGTGTGTGTGAATACGCAATGTTTTTTATTTCCTTCTTTATTGCATTTATTCATCAAATTTGTATGGAGTGAGCACCAAGTGCCAGGCTCAGTGTGGTGTGCTACGGACACTGCAGTGACTGAGACCAGATCGCTGCCTTCATGTTGTTTAACGGTCAGTGACTGTTGCTGGGGGTGGAGAGAAAGATTCTGAGGGATGGGGTGGTTTTCTTCCCTGCTCTGTGATCCGGGCACTATTTTGTTCACTCCTGTAGAGGGTCACCCCATTTTCATCAGAGTGACTGTGAATGTGAGCACAGTGGTCTGGACAGTGGCAAAGTATGCACACCTTTCTGAATGCTTCCTGTGGATGGGCCAAGTGCTGCGCTCCCTGTGGATCATCAAATGAGTTTTCATGCAACTCCTGACTGTGGGAACTCTTAGTACCCCATTACAGGTGAGGAAACCAAGGTTTATAGGGGTTAATTAATTTGCCTATGGTAACACAACTAGTCAGTAGTAAAGACGGGATTCCCATGGCTTGTGACTGAGTTCTGACCCACTTGGCCCTTGCGGCTGTAGTGGTGTCCCTAATAAAGCCACAGTGTGGAAAGTGCTTGATTTAGACAACCTGTATCCTAGCTTCTGTTGCTTAAGTTCCTGCTGATAAATGCTTTGGAGATTAGCCTTCCCTTATTTTCTCCAGTGAATATAAGTGTTACGGCTGAGGCTTCCCACTAATGTGATTTGCTTATAGTGTTTTTGGCTGTTTTTTGAGGCCAACTTTTCAAACTAGAATTAGACTACAAAAATTCACTCAGTAGCTCCCTGCTTTGGATAAATGAAAGTCTACTCAATAATTCTTGAGAAGGAGGCCCAAGAACTACCTTGAGGGGCCTGTTAGATGCCAACCAGGGATCTCCACGTCTGATTGGCCTCTTTCCTGGGCCAGCCTGGTGCAGAAGAGGACTGGACAGCCTCACTTTAGACGAGTCCACGTTGAACACAGCTGTGAATGGGCTGCGTGAGAAAAGCCAGGGAACTTGTCAAAAATAAGTATTTCCTGGCTCTGTGCCTGGAGTTCCTGATTCCCTAAATCAAGGCCAAGGCCAGAAATGAGTGTGTTGTCTAAGTGTCCCAGGTGATTTTGATATGCAGCCTATTTTGGGAAATAGAGCTTGGCTTGCTTTGAAATGGCTGGGTACCTATGGAATACTTATACCTCCTCTCCCCCACCACTTTATTTTTTAATGAAATTTTTTTTAGAGTAGTGCTTAAAAGCAAGGACTTTGGAAGGAGGCCAACTTGGGTTTCAGCTCTGACTCATTGTTAGGTGAGTGTTCTCGGGCGGGGTACTTAACCTCCCTCTCCAGGCACCCGCATGCGGGTGGACGGCAGCATCTCTGTTGTAACAGTGTAAATCCCTTGAAACACGGTGCCTGGCACATAATTGGTAGCTGTTATGACAAATACTAGTAATAACAAGTCAACCAGAGGCCAGAATGCTTGCTAGGGTTTATCTTAAGTGATTGGGGCAGGTTCAGGAAGCCCCCCCAGGCCCAGAGCTTTGGGTGATCTAAAGCCTATCTTAGAGATGCTTGAACCAGCCCTTGGACTTTGGGTTTGTGCAGAGCCGAGGGCCTACTATGCTAGGTCTCGAGCTTCCTTGAGTTGTCCAACTCTTTGATGATTGCAGTGAGGGCTAAAGCTAGGGGGATTCTGACTTTGCATCACTCAGTATGAAGTGGTGGGAATGTGTGTGCACCATAAGCCACATCTTTGTTGCCATTTGTCTACAACCTGCCTTTGCAGAGGGAAAGGGGTGCCCTTATGCAACTTACAGCCTATCTTCTAAGCTATTCTGGAAGGTTTTAGGTTATATAGGCTTCTCCCAAACTAGCAAGGAGCCAGGTCTGCCTCTCCTGTAGGTGCAGGAGACATACTGCCCGGCTGAGCCCTGATTTGGGATTGCTGGCTGTGCAACTATGCACAGATTACTTAGCTATGCTGTGCCTCAGAGTCATTATCTGAAAAATGGGGGCAAAAACTTGTGCCCAACTATATTAGTTTTCCATTGCTGCTGTAACAAATTATCACACACTTAGTGGCTTAAAGCAACACAAGTTTATTATGTTACAGTTCTGGAGGTCAGAAATCCTAAGGTCAAGGTGTTGGCAGGGCTACATTCCTTCTGGAGGCACTAGGGGAGAATCAATTTTCTTGCCTTGTCCAGCATTTAGAAGCTAACCATTTTCCTTGGTTTCTGGCCCCATCCACCATCTTTAAAGCCAGCAGTGTAGCATCTTCCAGTCTCTCTCTCACTCTGACCCTCCTGCCTCCCTCTTAGAAGGACCCTTATGATTACATTGGGCCCACTGGATAATCCAGGATGGTATCCTCATCTCAAGATCCTTAATCACATCTGCAAAGTCCCTTTTGCCATGTAAGGTAACATATTCACAGGTCCTGGGAATTAGGACGTGGACATCTCTGGTGGGCCATTATTCAGCCTACCACACCAACTCAGAGAGCTGTTAGGTGGCTCATCTGAGACAATGCATGCAGAGTGCTTACCACTGTCCCTAACACCGTCAACACTTAGTATGCTGTTACTGTAACTGCGATTACATTCTCTTGGCTAAAGAATGCTACTTCATTTTATCTTTCTTCACATGCTTGTGTTCTAATAATATTTTATTGTATTTATTATTATTGTTATTAGGAATGACTGTTATTTGTTGAGCTTTACTGTGTATCAGCCACTGTATCATTCTTCCTTTAGAAAAGGGCCCTGGACTTGAGAGAGATGGCGTGAGTCCTCCAAGGTTTCATGTCTAGTGAGAACCAAGGTCTGTTTCACGTCAATGCCCTCACCCTTGTGATCTTCTCCTTGTTCTTCTTTCAGTTCTTTGTTGGACCTCAGTTGATTTCTCACAACGTTTTAGAGCATAGCGGAGGCCTGTCTGGACACTGACCTGATAGAGAAGGCCAGTGTCTTGGGAAGCAAGAGGAACTTCCCTGGCCGCCCAGCCCTCTTCCTCTTGTGAGACTGCGGCTCAGCAGATTCACTTTCGGAGCCTGAGTAATCCCCTGCTTGCTTCCATCCGCGTCTGGGCGGCACTGTGCTAGGCCATCACCAGCTGCTTCTCTTTGCCCTCTTGGTGCTAACTTTTTGGATGACCCTTGGCCCTCTCTGGGCCAAGGTGCTTTTAGGCCTTTCAGCCCCCAGCCCACCTAGAACCAGTTCAAGACAAACAAGCCAACTGTAGGGGACAGCCGGGGAAGGCAGCCCTTGTCCTGTTGTTCTGGTTTGTTGCTTGGAGAGCAGGCCTCAGGTGCTGGAGTGCGTGGACTAGGCTGGTCCTTGGACGTACCGCTTGAGCAGGCACGTTTGAGTGTGGTGTCCCTGCCTCCCATTCTCTGTGTCCATCTCCGAGCTTCCCCTCTTCGGCATGTCATTCTCTGAGGGTCTTCTGTACGTTCTAGAATGACTTCTTTCTGGTTAACCTTTCCCATAGTAAAGCAGTTAAGAGCGTGGGCCCTGGCCTCAGACATACCTGGGTTGGAATCCCAACTCCCCCATTTACTAGCTCACATTCAATTTTGCACAAATTACTTGACTTCTCTTAGCCACAATTCCCTGTTCTTTTAAATGGGAATAGTACCAACTCGATGGGATTTTCAGCCCAGTACCTTAGAGCATATACGTGCACAATAATAGCTAGCTGTTATTTCAGTCAGCTTCCTCTCAGCAAGGTGGAAAGAAATCTGATTAAAATAATTCACTGGAAGATGTGAATGGCAGTAGGTTTAACCCTACCAGAGAGAAACTTCTTTTGCCAGCAAATCCTTAAGTCCTTGATTGGGACTGGGATAGGAAAGAACAACATAATACCTTTCTTTCTTTCCCCTGTTGGGAGCAGGTAAGAGAAGCTGGCAGGCAGGTGGGCAGGCCTGTTTCCAGTGCCCTTGTCCATTCTGGTACCCATCTGCGTTCACTGAATGCCAGAGAGAAGGGACAAGCAGTTTAGCACTCATTTTGCACCCTAGGCCAGGCTTTGTTAATATTTTCCTCTTTGCTGATGACCCATCATGTCTAAGGGAAACATGGGTGTTGCGCCCTGGGGTTATATCCTCGCAGCTCCCTCCTCAGAGAGGCCCTTTTGTTCTGGGAGGAAAGGAAACTGGCCCAGCCTGGAAGGATGTGCACCCATGAAGTCCTTCAGATCCCCCCTATTCCCAGATCAAACAAGGTGCTGAACTTTACCAGTGGGTCCCCAACCTGCCTGTGCATCAGACGCATACAGGGAGCTTTTAATGTGCGCTCTGGGGTCCCGTGCAGCTGGGGCCATGGGTGCAGTGTCAGTTCTCTACAAATCCAGGCTCCTCTGTCTTCATCAGAACCCTTTGTGGGGCACTCTGTCTCTTACATGTGATCCAGCTCAAATATTCCCCCTGGGTGAGTGACTTTCTCTTTCCTCTGAGCTTTCCTGGGTGGTGGTCTGGCCTTTTTCTTGCTGGGCTAGAAGGTAATCGTGTGTCTGTCTCCTTGACTAGAATGGAGCCTGGCTTACCTACCTTTGTGTCCCCTGCATCTAACACAGTGGCTAAAACAGTAGGTACCAGGAAAGGTTTACACAAAATGTAGCTTGTTTTGAATCACTTCTCGATTTTTTTAACTTCTAGTGCTCTACTTATACAGCAGGTTCTCAGTAAAAATTCTTAAAATGAATGAGTAGGACACAGCTGAGGGCCTAAAGTTGCTACCAGGCCATTCATTTATCAGCCATTTACCTCTGATGTCAGCCCCTTCCTCACTTGCTGGCATTTCCCTTGAGAAAACAATGGGGTCTGCGATGCCCTTTACAATTCTTGGCCCAGATCCTCCAGATTTGAAACAAACATCTAGCTTTTGAAGAACAGATTCACTATTTTCTTCCTATTTGGTACCACCTTTTGTATCTGTTGTTCACTGAGCATTTGCATTTAGCTTAGAGTGAGGGATGGAAGAGCCCCAGCAAACAAACAGGAGAATTAGAAAAAAAGTGACTTCGATCCACTCCCTTTCTCTATTGCAGACGTCTTAACAAATCATTTAGTTTTGTCTACCTGCCACCGAATGGCTTTACTATCACTCTGGGGTCCACAGGAGGGGGTCTGTTGTGTGTGTGTGTGTGTGTTTGTTTGTATGTAGCTGTGTTCCCTTTATCCATGTGTAGTCACTTTCGTTTTGTAGGTACCCAACTATTTGTGGCATATAGTTATAGAGGTAATGAGTATCCACAGATTACCCCTTAATGTAAATAGTTTATCAAAATTATAACTAGTCTGTAATTAAACTATTTTCTTTGTTCCTTTTTCTGTTAAACATAGACCCTTTCTAACCTGGATTGGAGTAGTGGTTGCTGAGGCAAAGCCACGTCTATGGAAATTTAATGTGTGGGGCAAGTATGGGAGCTTTGGGAAACCCTTCCATGGAGTGTAGAGTGAGGGGTCTGGGACTGTTTTAAGAAGTTCTCTTGAAGGATAAAGTTACTCTTGGAGCTAAGCCTTGGACAGGAGTGAGTGGTGGGTGAGGGCTGAAATAGGGGTATTTATATATGTTGTTCAAAGCCCCTAAGGTGCCATAAGCAGCACACGTGCATGGTGAGCACATGCTTGAATTGGCTGCCTGCATTTCCTCAGCTTCACCTCCACCGCCTGGGAAAGTGCCCGTGGCTCCTCATTGCCCCGTTGCTGTGGGAATCCAGGAGTTATTTATTGGTGGTAAGAGTTTCCTGGTATATCTTGAACCTGCCACCTCCACATTTCTCCCTTGAAACTCCTTGGGGGTTAGGGAGGAAAGTACAGAGAGATTTCAGGGGAATTTTAAATATTTGCCATCAAGAAAAGATAGAGAGCTGAGGCCTGGTGCCCATAAACGGGCAGGTGCCTCCCCTTCCAGCCTCAGTCCTGGCTTAGCCGCCCCACTTGGTATCTGCCCCTCCCTTTCCATTCGCCTTCCCCCTTTTAGACCATTCCTGCCTTTCTCAGTACTCTGCCCTGAGGAGTCAGCTGAGCAGCCTCAGGTTTTCCACTAAGTGTCTGAAGAGGCACAGGTTGGCCACCTGCCTGCTTTCCTTCTGCATCACTCTCACTCTTCTTTCTCCAGGGGACACCACTGCATGGCAGACATCAGGTTTTGTGTTACTGATGCCCCAGTCGTCCCCATATGCTGCCAAAGTCTTTCCTTGGTAAGCTTGACTTTCTGGTCTTTTAAGGACAAATCTTCTTCTTCATGGCCCAGCCCCAGAGCACCGTTGAGGGTGCAAAGTGTCTTGACGTGCCGAAGGAAACTGTTAGTACCATCGTACAGCTCCCGGGCTCCCTTCACTCTCCCAGTGAGGCAGCCCTGCTTTGAAGGCACTGTTATTTAAAACACATTTCATCAACTCCAATTTAATGAGGGGTTAATTTCAGTAATCATTATTGTCACTTACGGTGAAGTTTATAATTTTGAGCTTTTTATGATTATTCCTGTTTCCCCAGCTGGATTATCATCTTCATTCAAGGCAGGGAGCCTGCTCATGAGATGCTGTATATACTACAGTGCCTTGTACATGCAAGTTTCACACTACATTTAGTCTTGTTAGTGGAGCGCTGCAATGAACAGTTCAAGGCAGAGAAGTGCACATAAAGCTGCCCAATCTTGGCTTATTGACTTTCTATTCTCTCCCCACTCATAGAAGGTCACCTACGTGACCCTGGTGCTCAGAGGGCTGCCATTTTGTGATTAGGAAACCATAGGAGTCATTTTGGACCTTTGTGTGGGAGGGGGGTCCTACTATTTTCACAAATGCGGGGAGCAGCACCCCACGCTCATAGCTCCAGCGGTACCATTTGTGTTGTCAGGGATGTGGAGAAGCTCCTGGAGTTGTCTATAGAGGCCACCTTGCTTCAGAGGAACTGTCATTTAAAAAGCAATTCATTAGTTACTAAGTCCATGTTAGGACTTAAACAGAAATAAAAATTTGTCAATTCACTTCTCATCTGACTCTCCTGACAAATCAGTCTTCCCATTTTTCTGTGATATTTTACACTCCTTCTCATTTGCAGGCATCATGCTGCCTAGCTGGACTTCCGGAGTAGGCTGTAATTTTGTACTTGGTTTTTTTTTCCCCTTTAAGGTTAAGTTATAAGCTTTTCTGGGCTGCCACAGTCCTTGTCATTGTTGATGGTTTAATTATAGCACCAAGTGGATTACAATTATTTGATCACCTGACAATTACCTTATTTTTAGCGTTTCACTATTATAAAGAATGGGTAGGAGGCAGAGGGAGCTCTTATTTGTTCATTTTGACCTATGTGTCAGTCATTGTGCCAGACACTTAATTATCTCATTCATTCCTCTTAAAAATTGTTTGTGGAACTAAGACTCAGGCAGGTTAAGCACCTCAGTAATACGAGCTGATGTTTATTGAACCCTTACTATGTGCCAGACACTTTGCTAAGACCTTTTCCTATGATCTCTCACATCGCATTACTCCCTATGAAGTACATATTACATATCCATGCTGCAGGGCATGTTAAAATTCCAGGGTTTGTTGAAATACCTTGCTTGAGGTGGCACATCGAACTTGGAGAGGACAGATTTGAACCCAGGTTTGTCTGACTCTAAAACTCATGGTCACTATAATGTCAGCTCCGTGAAGGTGAGTTTTTTCCTCCTGTTTTTGTTTGCTGCTGTGTTCCCAGTGCTGAGAAGAATGCCTGGCACTTAATAGTTGGTGCTTAATAAATGCCTATTTGACCAATGACTGAATAGTTTTAACACTGTGTAAGCAGCCAGAGGGCAGGCTTCTTCACCTCCCAAGTCTTTGCTTTTCTACTGCGTCACTGTCTCAGGTATAGGTGAGTAGAAGATAAATTTGCATATATACACACACACGAGTATAGATATATATATATATATATTTATGAATTTGTGTGGGTATATGTGATCTTTTTCTTTCTTTTGATTTATTTGTCAGGATACATTGTAAGAAGTGCAATTACTGAGGCAAATTATAGAAACATTTCATAAGTTATTAAGAATATATTAAAATTTTTTTTGATGGTTTAAGTCAGTGTCTTGTTACTAGATATGTAAAAATAGTCCACTGTCCCTGCTACCTTGCCAGCACTGTTTAAAAATATTCTTTGCTAATATTATATAGGAGTACATTGCTACCTCAATATTTTAATTTGTTTCTGTTTCATTATTTGCTTTGGGATCTGCTATGAATTATCTGTTTAGCAAGATATCCTGTTTGTTTTGAAGCTTAGTGCTGCTAACTCCTAAACCTGAATGTTTTTCAGGTCCCAGACCGGTTGTGTTCCTGCAGCACGGCTTGCTGGCAGATTCCAGTAACTGGGTCACAAACCTGCCCAACAGCAGCCTGGGCTTCATTCTGGCAGATGCTGGCTTTGACGTGTGGATGGGGAACAGCAGGGGAAACACCTGGTCTCGGAAACACAAGACTCTTTCGGTTTCTCAGGATGAATTCTGGGCCTTCAGGTATGTTTGAATTGATTATGACAAAGGTCTGTTTCCCTAGGACCCTTAACCCAGACACACGAGGAGGCAAATAGATGGGTAACTGAAGATCATATGAGAGGAGAGACTTATGGCTCATGAAAGGTTTTAAACCTTGTTAAGAATTTAATAAATCGCAGTAAGGTAAATGATTACATTTAAGAATTAGATTCACATAGGGATTTTTGGTTATTTTGGTATTCCTGGCAGTGTGGAAGCTGCTGGGTAGATTGTGTCCCATAACCTTCGTCCTTCTTCCATAAACATGCATTTCAGATGTTCACTTTTTTATTTCCAGAAACTTGCCTCTTCTCTCTCTTACTTCTGGTTCTGCCAATTAATCACGTATGACATTGGGCATGTTGCATTGGCCCTCTGTGCCTCAGTTTTCTTTTTGTAAAATGGCGATAATAAATACCTATCCCGTAAGGTCACTGGAGGATGAAAGGAGAGGATATGGAGAAAGGGCCTGGCACATCATAAGTGGTGGTAACAATCAGCTCATCATCTCCTGATGACATGTGCCCAGGTCCAGGGCTGTGGCGGTACCAGCTATTAGAGAAGGTCGGTACTGTGGACTCCTTCAGGCTGGTTTCCCATCTGTAAAACCAGAGCCTACCTAAGGACATGAAAATACAAGAATGAGGGCTTTTACCAACGGCGGCATTTACTAGAATATGTTTATTGTCACACTATTTGTAAAAGTGAAAAATTGGAAACTACTGAATGCCATCAGCAGTGAATGGATAAATTCAGCGTCGTATATTTACACAATGAACAACCCACAACTATATGCGACAGCACGGATGTAACCAGATACAAAAGAATATGTACTGTTTGATCCCGTATATAGAAGAGTTCAAAAATGGGTAAAAGTAATTTATGGTGAAAAGATGAGGATAACAGTTACCTTCAGGAGGCACGATTAGAAGATTGGAAGGGAGCTCTGGGGGGCTTCTGTGGTCTTGGTATTGTTCTGTTTCCTGCGTTCAATGCTGGTTTACCCAGCTGTGCTCAGTCTGTGAGAACTCATTAAACTGTGCACTTACCATTTGTGAGCTGTTGTATTTGTCTGCAATGCCTTAATGAAAGCGTTGCTTTTTTGAATTACAGTTTTGATGAGATGGCAAATTATGACCTACCAGCTTCAATTAACTTCATTCTCAATAAAACTGGCCAAGAACAAGTGTATTATGTGGGTCATTCTCAAGGCACCACCATAGGTATGTATGTTATAAAGATCGGAAGTTAATGTCTTATTACAGAGTTTGCATTAGTTCTTAAAAGTGAAATATAAAAAAATGTTAGTTGAAATACTGTTTTGTTTTGATTTTTTAATACGCAGCAGATGGGCCGGCCCCGTGGCACAGTGGTTAAGTTCACACGTTCTGCTTCTCGGCAGCCCAGGGTTCACCAGTTCGGATCCTGGGTGCGGACATGGCACCGCTTGGCAAAAGCCATGCTGGGGTAGGCGTCCCACATATAAAGGAGAGAAAGATGGGCACGAATGTTACCTCACGGCCAGTCTTCCTCAGCAAAAAGAGGAGGATTGGCAGTAGTTAGCTCAGGACTTCCTCAAAAAACAAACAAACAAAAAAGAACAAAATAATACCCAGCAGAAATAATGAATAGGGCAAGGAATTTTGGTAATATTTAGTCTTCTCTAGAAATTCAGACTTTAACATAAATAGATAAGCATGGTGTATGGTTCTCTTGAAATGGAAGGAATTAGTGTAAGCCACAGCCTATTATGTATTTTCCTAGTTAAGCAATATGGGGATTTGAGAGGGAAGAAAGCAAGAGGTTTTATAAGCACAGAGACTTATATAGAAAACAAAAAGACACTGATTTTTAAAGTTAAGTGGAATAAAACTACGAAGATGCCATGTTACACTTTATTTACAATTTTTAAAAGTCATAAATTTTTTATTCTGATTATAAAAGTAATGTGTGTTCGTTGTAAATAAAATTTAGCAAAGTTTAAAGAAGAGAATAATTGCCCATAATTCTAGCAAACAACAGTTCCTCTGGTTAGAGACTAAGGAACTGTCTCGTTAGTGGAGTTAAGCATTTTTCTTCATTTATATTCCTTCTTCCATGACTTACCTACTTGTGTCCTTTGCCCCACTGCTTTCTATAGTGACATTCTGGGGCCAAGTTTAAGGCAAGAAGTAACCTGAGAGGAACCTAAAAGATATTTAAAGCTAAAGCATTCTAAATGTGTGGGTTCCTTTTGAGTCCTTGGTGACTGATTTGCAAGCCTCCGTAAATCATTCACAGGACAGGCAGGGGGCAGTGGGGGATGGGGCGGGGGGATGGAGTTGTTAGGAATAGTAGTCTTTCCTTCGATCGCCTTACATTATTAAAGGAACAGGGAATATCTTCTGGTTCTAACAACCTGGATTTCTTCCAGTGCATATCTACGTTGAAATCTGAAACAAGCACTTAACCAATACTTGATTTACTAGTTTAACCAAAGTCGGTGTTTGCGTACATTAAAGTTCAGAGGACCGCATTTAAAGTGTTTTGCCACATGGTGGCGACATTGTTTGCATGGTTCTCAGGTGGCTACTAGAGGGCGCAACGCATGACCGCCGTTGGCTTTTCAGAGAAAGTCCCAGAAGATGGAATTTCTATCATCTTCCTTTTGTTCCCACAGGTTTTATAGCATTTTCACGGATACCTGAGCTGGCCAAAAAGATTAAAATGTTTTTTGCCCTGGCTCCTGTGGCTTCACTTGAGTTCTGCACTAGCCCTATGGTTAAATTAGCAAACTTTCCAGATCTTCTCATTAAGGTACTTTAATTCCCTCCCCTGACCCCGGACGCCCTCCCACCCTCCCGCCTTGCCCCACAAATTTCCCTTTCAGATCTGAAGAATTGGCCATTAAAGGAAGAATCTTTGCCTTCCTTCTCTATGTTCTTCTATCAGTGGAACAGTGGGATTTCTTCTCTCCATGGTTTTTCTTCCCCTCTTCACCCCTGCTTCCAGATCCTGGGGAGTCAGGGAAGGTGTATCATTAATTCTACACCAGAGCCCCACATTCTCATGGTGAACATGTCAGTGCGACTCTATACCCACCACACAAAGAGAGCACAAGCAAGTCTGGGAGAATGGAGCTTAAACCTTTATTCCAGGCAGGGAGCCAGTACATGGGATGGGAGACAGGGACTGTGCTGTTCCCACATGGCTAACCCTGGCCACACTGTGGGCTATCTAAAGACACAGTTACTATTATATTTTATAATGTGGTCCTGAAACACAAGCCACTAACTTCATCGGGGTTCAGCCCTAGAGCTGTGTGATCCCCAAGCTCTGTTCAAGGAGGAAGCAGTTTTATAAGAAGGAGTTGACAGCCAGCTGAGGCCAGATGGTCCATTATGCATGCACTATATATGTTTTATGTATGATATATCTATACACACACCCAGCCGTGAAATCCCATACAGGAATGTATACTTAAAATCTGGTATAACATATTCCTGTGGCCATTTAAGAGACTTTCACAGGAAATACAGACTAGACTCTGACCTCAGAATCCAACTCTCACCTAAGATGGGATTCTCTGCACTGGTGACCAGACATGCAGATAAGATGTGTCCCCTCAACCAAGTTGATTGATAATGCCTTGGGTAATAGAAGCATTGATTTTCATTATGAACAACTCAGAGATTACAAATAAAGTACCCTTCGACTACCAAGGCTTCTTTTAGCGCCTTCCTAAGAATTAAGCACAGTGCTCAGCTTGAGATCATCTCCTATGGACCTTGTGTGTGAATTTACATACATACATACATAGGTCCAGAGAGAAATGTATTATTTTGTTTTAACGTAGACGGTATCCAACTATGTATGTTGTTCCTCAGGCTGTGGTTTTCACTCTTGGAGCGCTATCATGTTAATACATGAAACTACCACATCCTTTTTAACTCTGCGTAGTAAATTTTCCATTGTAAAGAACTGCTACTTACTTAACCAGACTCCTGTGGTAGACATTTAGGTTGTTGCTAATTTGCCGTTGCTGATTCCTTGTGCCCTTTTTTATGGAGAACTGAACTTGCTGTGTTTTAGGAATCTTTTTAATTTAATTTAATCCTCAGAGACTGTAATTTAGTAGCTTTGCAAAGACACAAACTCCCGCTCCCCACCTGGTAGATGGTGACTTGTTAAATCTGGAGTGGCGCCCAGGATCTGTGGTTTTATGAAGCACCCTACTTGATTCTAAGGTAGGCTAAGTAGACTGATATTTGGGAATCACTGTTCCAGACAACAGTGTTTTGTAATATCCTGGGACAGTGATAAGTGCAAGAATAAGTGTTCATAAAACCTTTCAATTAGTTGCTCTGAGTATATGTTGCTTCTATGAAAGTTGAGTGTCCTAACTCATTCTCAGAATACACAGTTATAAAGACATCACAGTTGATATGAGCAGGGCTGTAACTGTGTAAGGAATTTTTTTCTGTATATACGGTCCTGCTTTGATGTAATCTTCAGTGGGGTTTGCCATAAGTGTTTCGGTAACAGTTCTGAAGTGCAAGGTCAACTTCGCCTTCTTTGTTGGTCAAAAGGAAAGCTTGGTGATTTAAGTCAGTGATGTATTATCCTATTGTTTTTAATAGAGAATCTCAAAAATATATGCATTTTTCACACGTGACCATTACGTAGACTCAAAGCCAGGAGTTTTAAATATTGGTGCCTTTTCCTGTTGCGTGATGTCTGCAGGTGATATTTACTTCTTGGTTCTCCCCAGCTAATCTTAGTGTGATTAGTCTGGAGAAGAGGAACATTCAAGAAGGCCTGATATCTGTCTTTAGAGATTCGTTAGCTGTCTTGTAGAAGACAGATGTGACAGAGATCACAGGTTGTACGTGGATGGAAGTTGCCTGCTGACATGTTGAATATGGTCCATACAATATTATAATTTTAAATTGCTTGCATTTTTTAAAAGCAGGATATTTAACATTGAAATCTTTTTTTTTTTTGAGGAAGATTAGCCCCAACCTAACATCTGCTGCCAGTCCTACTCATTTTTTTTTTTTTTTTTTTTTGCTGAGGAAGATTGGCCCTGAGCTAACATCCATGCCCATCTACCTCTACTTTATATGTGAGACATCTGCCACAGTATCGCTTGGTAAGCGGTGCGTAGGTCCGTACCTGGGATCCGAACCTGTGAAACCTGGGCCACCAAAGTGGAGTGCACGAACTTGACCGCTGCGCCACTGGGCTGGCCCTTTAACATGAAATCTTGACAATTATATTTTGGGGGAAAAAAAAGAAGCTGTGTATCACAGAGCAGTTGTACACGTTAGGCTGAGCAAAGGCTTTCCAGTTCACTGCAGTTCCCAGCACTCCCTAATCATCCCTCTGGGCAGGGTGGCGTTTTACATTTGCTGTTTTACTCGTGTACATGTACAGGCCTGCCTGTGTTAGTTTGTTAGGACTGTGAGGAAGGATCTGTTCGATGTCTCTCCCTGGCTTCTGGTGGTTTTCTTGGTGTTCCTTGGCTTGTAGAAGCATCACCCCGATTTCTGCCTTCATCTTCACATGGTGTTTGTGTGTGTGTGTGTGTGTTTCTGTGTCCAAATTTCCCCTTTCTGTGAGGACACCCGTCATACTGCGTTAGGGCCTACCCTAATGACTTCGTCTGAACTTGATTACCTCTATGAAGACCCTATGTTTAAATAAGGTCTCATGCTGAGAGACTGGTGATTAGAACTTCAGCATATCTTTTTTTGCCGAGGGTGAGGGGAGACACAATTCAGCCCATAAAACTGCCTTTGTAGGCATTTGAATTTTTCATTCATGCTTGCCCCTCCAGAGGGTAGGCATCAGCAAAAGCGTAAATTATAAGGGGACAAATTTAGGTTCAAAATAAAAAAAATATCTTTTTCCTATTTCTTGTTGCGCAAGTACGTGAAGATCTGCCTTGGGGGCATAGTGATTGCTCTGGAAATTCTTGAACACAAATTCCGTGGCCATCGGTCAGGGCTGACGTAGACCAGGAGTCAGCGAACCTTTTCTGTAAAGGTCCAGACAGTAAATATTGTTGACTCTGTGGGCCCTGTGGCCTCTGTGGCAACTACTGAGCTCTGCCATTGTCGAGTGAAAACAGCCAGAGGCAATGTGTGGAGAAGTGAATGTGGCCGTGTTCCAGTCAAACTTTGCTTATAAAAACAGGCAGTGCTGGCGGAGGAGGAACGGGCAGTTACTGTTTAACGGGACAGAGTTTGAGGTATTGAAAGAGTTCTGGAGATGGATAGTGGTGGTGGTTGCACAACAATGTGAAAGTCCTTAATGCTACTGAACGGAACACTTAAAAATGGTTAAAATGGTAAATTTTGTGTTATGTGTGTTCTACCATAATAAGAAAAAGGATTAAGAAACAGGCAGTGGGCGGGATTTGGCCCACTGGCCAGTAGAATTGGATTAGTTGTATGTGCTTGATCCTAGTCTGAACGTCCACTGGTTACCCCTTCTCTCCTGAGGCCATCGTGGAGACGCTTGGCACATGTCTCTGCTTCTGAGGCAGGTCGTGGAGGCCGCGTACCGGAATGAAAGGCTGAGGTATTCTTGGGTTTCTTTTTATTTTGTAGGACTTATTTGGGGTCAAAGAATTTCTTCCCCAGAGTAAATGTTTGAAGTGGCTGAGTATCCATGTTTGCACTCATGTCATTCTGAAGGAGCTCTGTGGAAATCTCTTCTTTATTCTGTGTGGATTTAATGAGAGAAATTTAAATATGGTACGTATGTTTATGGTAAGACTTGCTGCAAGCTTTCGGAGATTTTATTGTATCTGTGAATGTGCTTATTTATGTTGGAGGATGTGGGAGAGGCAGGAAGGACCTCCTTAGACCTCTAAAGGATTTCGTTTCAAGAGGCTCAGAATGAGCTTCGGCAAGTGCCTGGAGTACCATCCACTGCTGTCCTTAGGCCAGCCCTTGTCAACTTCCTGCATTGTACCTGTATGGAAACTATTGAATGAGGAGGTCTGTCATAGTTTAAGTCCCAATATTTATATTTATTCTAGTGATTTGTTTCTTTTAAAAAATTACTATAAGTCTGTTTAAACTTGGAATGGCCATTTTTTTATACATTTGTGTATTTTGTAAAATGCAAACCCTTGGCCAGCAATATGCTGATGTTGCTAAATATGTTTGTAGTTTGTAATGTAGCATTTTGAAAACAGGTTTTAAAATTCTGGAATGAAGGCTCTGTGGAATTTTTTTTTATGTGATATTAATTTTTCTTGTTTCTTTTTTTAAACCTTTTTTTTTTTTTTGTGAAGATCAGCCCTGAGCTAACATCCACCACCAATCCTCCTCTTTTGCTGGGGAAGACTGGCCCTAAGCTAACATCTATGCCCATCTTCCTCTATTTTATCTGTGGCATGCCTGCCACAGCATGGTTTGATAAGCGGTGCATAGGTCCGCGCCCGGGATCTGAACTGGCGAACCCCAGGCTCCTGAAGTGGAATGTGCAGACTTAATGCTACGCCACCAGGCCAGCCCTTAAGTTTTCTTGTTTCTGATGATAAAGGCAAGGTGTGATTATTATATAAAATTTTGGAAATTCAGAAAAGTACGAAGAAGAAAATAAAAATCACCAGTAATCTTAACTCATGTAGCTCCATGGTTACCATATTGCTATATTCCTTCATATGTACTCTGTGTGTGTGGTTATACATATTTTTATAGGACAAAATTTTTTTCCAGCTCTTAATCCCATGTATTTGAGATTGTGGCTCTGTAGTTTTTAATGCATTAAAGTGCAAAATATGTTTATCATCAATGCCTCCTTAATGCTGTTTTCATTCTTTATTTCAATTTGTTTTGCAGTCTAGAGTGGCTGTGTATACAGCACATTCTCCTGCTGGAACTTCTGTGCAAAACATGTTACACTGGGGCCAGGTAGGCATTCCAGGAGTGCATTTGGGGTTTGTGTAAAGTCAGCGTTAGAAGGATCAATGCATTCTATGAAACACTTCTCTGCAAGCCCTTCCCAAATGGAAAGAGCCTGTGCACAAATCTGAGCTGGCTTCCTTGCCCAGAGTCCTGGGTTCCTGTTATTGTGTTTGGGTTGCTTTGTTATCCTTCCTGGGGCAAACTCTACTATGTGTAAGTTCACCAGACAGCTATTGGGGTTGACTTCTTTCTTTTCTTTCCCTTCCCTCTGTCAGTTTTTCAGCAAGTCTCAGATGTACTTTATTTCTGTGTGGCTTCATAAAGCAAGATTTTAGAGCAGCTTTGGCGATAGAAGCTGCTATTTCAACATTAACCCATGGGCACAATATGCCTGAAATATCAGTGGAGCTAAACCAATGGCGGACATAAATGGGAACCACCAGCTTTTAAAACAGAATTTTGATTGTTTTATCACACTTCGCAAAAGTAATGTATGTTCACTCTAGAAAATTTAGAAATTACATATAGGCAAAAAATAATAAAAATTCTCTTAAGATAAAAGATAAAATTATTCTAATCTTACACAGAGATAGAAAATGTGTACCCAGAGATACGAAATGTCTCTGAGTTCTACTCTGTACCTCTTGCTGCATATCACTTCAGAAAGGTGTTAAAGATATAGATGGAAATAGTAGTTGTCTAAATAGATTAATTACTCTTTTATAACCTTTTTTTCACCTAACAGTATATCAGAGACTTATTTCTACTTCAGGACATATTTTTGTACAATTTTTTTCTCTGCAACTTCTTTTTAAATAAGAAATAACTCACCATTTAAGCTCCCAAGCAAGATACTATGGGTATCTTAGATAGCAATTTCCGAACAACTGGCAGTCACTCCCTGTGTCAGAATCATGTGAGTTGCCTTTAAAAGTATGCCTTTTAATAAAATATTGCTTAGAAAAAATAAAGGGAGTTGGGTTCATGGTAGAGCAGTTGGATTGGCTACAATTCAGACTTTTAGAAACAAAGATTCCTGGTGTCCCATTCCTGGAGATGCTAATTCATTTGGACTGGAGAATTGGTAAATTATTTTCTTAAAACAGCTTTATCGAGGCATAAGTGACATATGATATTTAAAGTGTACAATTTAGTATGTTTTGACATAGGTATACGCCGAAGAAACCATCACTACAATCAAGACAGTGAACATATCTATCACCCCCAAAAGTGTCCTCATGTCCCCTTTTGACACCCTCATCTCGCTCCTCTCCCCCTAAGCTATGACTGATCTGCTTTCTGTCATTATAGGTTAGTTTGCATTTTCTAGAGTTTTGTATAATTATGCAGTTTATACTTGTTTTTGTCTGGCTTCTCTCACTCAGCATAATTATTTTGAGATTCAGCCATGTTGTCATGTGCATTAGTAGTTCAATCCTTTTTTTTTTTTTTTGCTGAGTCGTGAGAATTTGTACTTTTTAGAAAACTCTGCCCAGTAGATTCTTCTGCCCAACTGGATCTGCGAAGCACTGATCTGGAACCTCACCGGCGCTTTAGTATCCTTCCTCAGTTGTCCCAGGAACCCTGTCTGTTAGGAGGGCCGTAGTGCACCTCTTCCTGGGCTCATCCCTGAGGAACCAGGCAGGACAGTGGCTGAGGCTCTTAGCTCCATGTAGTGACTGTACGGCCCAACGTTTAATGCCAGTGACTCAGTGCCAGCGTTTGCTGTGGCTGAGAAGAGGGGCATCTGGACTGTAGGTCATTCACGACATGCTGAGGAACACACTCTTCCCTCTTCAGGAGTGTCCTGAAACCTTCACAAGTCCTCAAGTTCACAAATGTTCAGTCAGGCCCTTCTTTTTTCCTCAGCCACATTTCTGTTTATAGCCACTTGTTTTCTTTGTGTCCCCTGTCATCAAAATACTCCCACCCTTTGAGCATTTTTACCCTCTTACCTAATGGACATTTTTCAGAAAGGCCCAATTTTGGTCGCCTCATGGGTTACTGCGTTCTTAACGTGGAGGGTGACTGAAGGTAGAGGCTGAGCTTAGTGACCCACCAGCTTCGTGACCGTTGCAGCCCACATATGGTATGCCACATGGCTCAGCAAAGTACAAATGACCACCAGACTCCACCTTTCAGGGGCTTTGGGAATGTGGCATTCAAGGCTACTCTGTTGTATGTTACAGAATGGTGACCATTCACCCTTCGGTGTCACAGGCCTCCCCTGGGCATTGGGTTGGCAGTAGAGCTCTTGGATCAGCTGCAATCCAGGCCTCCGCTCTTGTCCCAACCCCTTTTATTGAGCAGCTGGCCGGGCTCAAAGGCTGCAGGCTGAGGTTCAGAACACTGCTCTGGGGCCCAGTTGTGACCTTGTGGTTTTAGGTGCTAACCACATTGGAATGTGCCTCATGAACATTTCCAAAGCCCAGATTCACTGCGGGAGGCAGCCCTGACCTTTGCTCTTCTGCTCCGTGTGTCATCCCTTTATCAAGAAGGTAGTTGCTTTGTACAGCTGTTTCGTAGGACCTCCTTGAGTCTCCCTTCTCTGGGCTGTTGGCCAGGGGCTACCACTCTCTGCCTATCAAGGACATGCTGGTGCAGGCAGCCCTGGTATCTGCCAGGAGAGGCTTCTGCTGAAGGTGTGCTGGGCCTGGATGCTGGCAGGCTGAGGGCTACAGTTCAGGGGTGAAGTTTGGGGGTTCCTGTGGCAGGAGTTTGGGGGTGCCCTTAAAAGGCATTTTCTTCATGATACATTCAGAAGTTTACTTTTTCTTTAAATAATTAACATTCTTTTTAAGTGTTCTAAAACCTGGTTCTTTGCTGAGGGTTTTTTTTTTTTTTTTTTTAAGATTGGCACCTGAGCTAACATCCATTGCCAATCTTTTTTTTTCCTTCTTCTCCCCAAAGCCCCCCTGTACATAGTTCTGTATTCTAGTTGTAGGTCCTTCCGGCTCTGCTGTGGGGGATGCTGCCTCAGCTTGAGTTGATGAGCGGTGATAGGTCTGCGCCCAGGATCTGAACTGGTGAAACCCTGGTCCGCCGAAGCAGAGCACACGAACTTAACCACTAGGCCACGAGGCCAGCCCTCTTTGCTGAGTTTTTAAATTTAGTTTCTAATTCTTCTTACTCTCCTTATAAACCTGACAAGTTTCAAAGACCCCCAGAGCCAAGACTCTCATTACTATCTCTAGCTCCCCTGTTGGCTATGCCCAGAGCCCAGACACTCGCTCCTGGTTTTTTTTATTTTTTGAGGAAGATTACCCCTGAGCTAATATCCGCAGCTGATTCTCCTCTTTTTGCTGAGGAAGACTGGCCTTGAGCTAACATCCATGCTCATCTTCCTCTACTTTATATGTGGGATGCCTTCCACAGCATGGCTTGATAAGTGGTGTGTAGGTCTGTACCTGGGATCTGAACTGGTGAACCCCGGGCTGCCGAAGCAGGGTGCACAAACTTAACTGCTGTGCCACCAGGCTGGCCCCACCTGTTTGAAGAAGGCCAGTCCTAACATATCTTTACAGTATTGTTCAGCATTACTTAGGGTGCTGTAAGAAAATACAGGTTCTTGGGCCTCCTCAAGACTTAGATTGGGAATCACAATTCCGGGGGGTATGTCCCTGGGATCTGCATTTTAATGAGTACCTCATATGATGTGATGTTCTCTTTTACTTGAAACTTACTATTTGAGAAGACAAAACAAAACAAAATATACATTAGGTAGGCTCTTTAAAACATTGTAAGAAGGCATTTAGTATAATTTTTATTATACGTGTAATATATGTTCATTATGAAATTTTTAAAAATATGTGAGTACAAAGAAGAAAATACTTCACTCATATGTCTGCCACCAGGGATAACAACTATCAGTATTTTGGTATTGTAGGGGAGGTAAAATTTTTCCTTTTACCCTCTTAGGGTTTCTGACTGGAACTGACATAAAACAGATTAGCAAGAGAAAAGCATACAAATTTTGTTTACATGTACATGGGAGCCCTCACAAGAAAAATGAAAACCCAAAGAAGTAAATAGGCCTAAATGCTTATATACTAGGTTGAACAAAGAGTAGCAATTGTGGAAAAGTAACTAAAATATATGGGGAGATTTAAAGGAAGTAAAAGCTATTTTAAAAAGGTCTTTTTATACAGATTTCTCTCAGCTTCCACTCTTAGTCTCTGGAGTTAAGAATATTTCTTCCTCCTGATATAGGGAGGGCTTCTTTCACAAGGGAATTTCATCTCCTGCTTTTAGAAAGAAAAAGGAAGGTCAGAGTACCCTCCTTGTGTCTGCTGTTTTTCAAGTGCCTTTAATTCAAAATAATCAGTATGCCAGTATGGCGTATTTTGGAATGGCGTGTTCTGAACTCTTTCAGTATAATCTTATAATTTTTTGGTATAATTGTTTCCATCACAAAAGTAGGATCATGCTCTTTGCACTTTTTGGTAACTTTCTTTTTTATTTAATGAAACAGCAGTATATTTGTTAGATACAGGCTAAGTTGCTGTATCAGAGATCCAAAATATAGACTCTAAATATATAGTTTTTCTTTCTCATGATACAATCCAGACATCAGTGGTACAGGATTGTCCTCGAGCAGGTGTGACTGTGCTCCAGGAAGTCATGCAGGGACTCAGTTCCCTCCATACTGTAGCTCTGCCATCCTTGGGTTGCTGTCCTCTTCGGCCTGGTTAAAGCTGGGTCACCTCCACATCTGTTCCAGCCGACAGGATGGAAATACATGAGAGATGTGGTTCCTATCCTGGCAGCCATATGCTGAGTGAAGCTTTAGGGATTCTGTTACTGAAAGGGAGAAGGCATGAATGGGCCCGGGGAGGGGAGTGGGTAATTAGTGGTCTCTGCCATAATCATAAATATCTTTCCAGGTCAATAACTAAATTTTAAAATATTTGTGTTCGAGGACAGTTTTCTATTTCTTGAACTTATTATTATTTTTGCTATGATAGGTTTGTTTTTTCAATAGTAAAACATTCTGGGACAACTATTATTGAATTAGAGATCTGTCCTTATACATTAGGCAGATTACTTGCTAAGGATACCGTCGTAGAAGTAGACTTAGGGGTCGGAAGGAAAGTGTACTTTTTTTTTTTAAAGATTGGCACCTGCGCTAACAACTCTTGCCAGTCTTCTTTTTTTTTTCACTTTTTTCTCCCCAAACCCCCCAGCACATAGTTGTGTATTTTTAGTTGTGGGTCCTTCTAGTTGTGGCATGTGGGATGCCGCCTCAGCGTGGCCTGACAAGTGGTGCCATGTCGGCGTCCAGGATCCGAACCAGCAAAACCCTGGGCCGCAGGAAGCGGAGCGCGCGAACTTAACCACTCGGCCATGGGGCCGGCCCCTAGGAAGGTGTATCTTTAAGACTTCCAATGCGTGTTGTACTTTAGAAAGGTTGAACCTATTTACATTTTCATTACCATTTGAGACCTAAAAATAATTTTTAAATGTCACTGTAAAACTGTCTATCCTAATATTGTAAGCATTTCCTCCTGATCTTTATCCACATATGCTTATTCCAGAAGTGTAACCATATGCATGTTCAACTTCATTTTCTGACTTTTTCCCAACTTAATATTATTTGTAAACAGTTTTTCTATTTTATTATGTTTATGTTTGTGACAGTGGCATACTCTTGTGTATATTGATGTAATAATTGGACTGTAGCCTATTCCCAGCTTTTTGATACTATAAATAATGTTTACATTTCCCTCCTTCTGAGATGCCCTTTCAAGTGGATAGTTTGAAGTCTTATGCCTCTGAGCACAAAAGTCAAGTCTGAAGTTTAGTCTGAGCTCTAGGCAAGTTTTTTTGTATTCTATACTCACTCCAGGTGCTTTATATAAATGCTACAGGACATGTGTGAGAAAGTGATAAACTGAGGTCTGTCCATAGTGGCAGAACAGCTCGCATTGATATATTTTCACTGACACATAGAGCTGGGGAACAGATGCACTAACAGGTGCTGTAAATCCATATTTTATTCTGCTTGTTAAATACACTGCAGGTATTAATATCTGTCATTTGCAGTGGCAAAAGCAGATGATAATCATTTCTCCTGTAGTATGTAATCTCACACTTTTATTACATCAAACAGCAGAATTTTATGCAATTGATAAGAACTGAAACTTCGTATAAATTAAAAGCATTTCTGACAAAGAATGTCTAGATTTTTCCCCTTTACCAGGCACCACCATCTGACCAAAGCTTAAACAGTTTCCAATTCATTTGACTTGCCAATTTTAGATTTAATTCTTGACATATTTTTAATTTGGGGATATCGCATTATTTCAAAATAGGTGACTTTTTAATAAATTTTATATCATACTATTCTCAATATGCATAAATTGAAATTTCATATACGATATCAACTCACGGCTCTACTATCTCTAACTAGGTAGAATTATGCTGCTGTGCAGTACAACTTGGTGATTGTACTGGTATTCAAGAAAAAGTGTCAAATAATAAAGTCATTAAAATGTTAATGTAGAAAAGTGTTACAGTAGAGTGGATATACAGAAAATACAGAGATTATATATAATTTATGTTAATATATTAATTCATATATTAATATAAATATAATATAGTGTTTACACTGATCCCTATAGGTATGTTAATATATAATTAATATATTTACATATAATGTAAATATATTTATATTAATCCATAGAAATGCATATTAATCCATATATAAATATATATTAATCCATAGATTATATGTAACATGTATTTCTTTCCCAAGTAAAATAGTTAAGACTTTGAAAAAGTTTAAGATTCAAATTTCAGTAAAATACCTCAACATAAAGTTGATCAAATGAGTATAGCCGTTGATCTAGTACGGTTCACAGCATGTGTGTGTGATTGCTTTATTGTGTCATGTAATAGCTACTTTCCAATCATGCAATGAGAAATTGAGTCCTTTAGTAAAGGAGAGCAAAATAATTCCATTTTATTTTAAATTGCACTTTGGGAATGAAGAGTAAATCTGGGCATCGGTGTAAAATTGATTTCTGAGGCCATGGCTAACTCTAGCAACCTGTGAGGTTATCTCAGCCTTCTTTGTCAGATAACGTTTTTCCAAATTATCTTCTTTTTAGGCTGTTAGACTCCAAAAGTTCCAAGCCTTTGACTGGGGAAGCAGTACCAAGAATTATTTTCATTATAACCAGGTAAAGTCTTAAAAGTCTGTAGAATTAAATTTGGCCCTGAAAACTTCTCAAGGAAGCTGGCCTGAGTTAGGAGGGTTCTGGCCAGGCTCAGGTGCTGTGGGAAATTTGGGGAGTTGACTGGATAGCGTTTGTTTTCCCTCAGTCAGTTCCAGAACAACCCAAGCTTTGCGGTTGGTGTTGTGGATTAGGCCTCCCCTCTATGCTTTCTCTGGCTCCGTGTAACAACCATCACTGTCATCATCATTCCTAGTGATCAGGGACACACACTTTCGAGTGAGACAAGCCTAGGTCTGTTACCTGGTAGCTGGGGGGCCCTTGGCCAAATTACAATGCCTCAGCCTTTTCTTTCATATACAAATAAATTGACCATTTTTGAGTGCTAAATGCCCTAAAATGGGCACTTTGCCCAAGTTCTTCTTCTTTAATTCTGACAATATCCCTGTGACATGGATGTGATTATTATCATTAAAGATAAGGAAACTGAGTCTTAGAGAATTTCTGTGACTTGTGTTACAGCCCAGAGGGCAGGGAGGTAGGAGCGTGTGACTCCAAAGTCCCTCCCCGACCACTTGGTTCTGTCACTTTGCATCTGCTACCTGGAGAACAGCGCCTTCATCTCTAGGGATCAAACACTTGTTACTGTGCCCGGTGCAGGCCAACAGCTCAATAGCCAGAGAGCTAGCAGTTACTATAGTCATATTCTTTCATTGTGGATTAGGTTTCTTTCTGTTCTGGTAATTATAATAGTAACTTGAAAAGTAAACTGAGAGTGATTTTCAAAATTTAGTCTTTTATTCTCAGATCAAATTTACTAATGAGTGTTTAATGGAAATTGTGTTGATTGTGTTTTTGTAAATTAAAATAATGCCAACAAAGCTTTCTGTGGGTTTTCACTATAGAGTTACCCTCCGACTTACAATGTGAAAGACATGACCGTGCCAACTGCCGTCTGGAGCGGGGGCCATGACTGGCTCGCGGACGTCAAGGACGTGAATGTCTTACTGACCCAGATCACCAACTTGGTGTACCACAAGTGCATTCCTGAATGGGAGCATCTCGACTTTATCTGGGGTTTGGATGCCCCGTGGCGGCTCTATAATGAAATGGTGAATCTGATGAGGAAATACCAGGGAAAGCCAGACTGGAGAAAGTTACCATCAAGTCAATGATCAAGTCATGTTAAAATTTGTTTGCTTCATTTCTCTAAAATACTTTTTTTCTTTCCCAGGCCTTTTGTATTTTTATATCCAAGAAAATTATGATGTTGAAGATGCCCAGTTCTCTCCAGTTAGGATTAGAAACACAGTTGCTTTTTTGTTTAATCATGGCCAAATATGAAGCTAGTATCTGTAGTCTCTAAGTCTTTTGAAAATATCACTGACTTGTAAAAAGGTCATCATTACCATTCTGTTTATCCTTATAATTTAAAATATGCTATATTGCCTTTTTAGCCCCCTACAGGACACATTGACATACGTATTGGAGTTTTCAAGCTGTTTTGCTCATTGGTAAATCTGACACTGACTTGAAGACTACTCAGTGTATGAGTACCCACTTCTCATTTCTTTGCCTTAACGGGCTCTCCAGTTGAATGGCCTTGTATTCAGGGATCTCAATGACACTTTCTCATGTTCTCATGAAGCAGGTGCAGAATCAAATCCAGTGACCCCCCCACCCCCGCCGCCGCCCCCGCCCAGCTGTGCCAGTTATAAAGATTCTGTAGTGAATTTTATCAACCTGCGGTAGCCATTATTTAGCAAATGTTTAAATTGCTCAAACCAAAATAATTTGCTGGGGTCTTCAACAATAAATTACACTCATTAAAACAACAACAACTATAGTTTAAATAGCTTGAAGACTGATACATTCAGCCATCTGTGTTCATGAACTCTTAATTGTGTGGCAGGCCATAAATCCACTTGCTTGAGAAGAAAAGTCCTGTGGAGAGACAATACCACTGTTTTTCCTGAAATTAATGTAACTCTCAACCAGCTGCTGTAGCTCAGTGATGGCGTGTGAAGCAGAAGCCCTGAGGCTGCCCATGAGGAGCGAACTAATTCATTTTCACACAAAGGAAATGTGAGCGTGACTGTTTGCAGATTGAAGCTCAGGGATTCGTTTTGTGTTTTAGTTTTGTGCGTGGCCATATTTTTCACACTCCTGATTGTGTCCCTGTGTCAGGAAGGCCACATTTACCTGATTTTCTTGCGGCATGGTGTCCTCAGACGGACAGAATGACAATTGCTATGCTTTTCCGATATGGTGACTTTAACTGCAATAATAAACCCTACTTGGTATTGGCTGAAATGTGCAGACAGCATAATACCACTTTGTAGCATTTAAAAAGTCTTTTCTAAACTTTTCAATAAAACTCAGTGAGCCTCACAGACCTGAAGGATTGTGTGTATGTGTGTATCGTCGTTTGTTTAATAGTCATTCTCTACTTCCCTTTCTCTCTTAGCAGGACTTATGCTTTTCTTTCTCATCTTCTCCCCCTCCTGCCTACTCCTTGTAAGTCACAATGATACTGCCCATGAACATTTGATCCTCTTCCATCGTGAGGTGAAAGTGGTCTCAAACCTCAGGAGGGATAGGGGGTGGTGGAAACACAGGCTTTCAGGGTTATCCTGCAGGGTCCACTGAGCGAGGCTGTGAGTGGAGACTAAGCTGTGATTAGCCCCATTGCAGGGAGTAGCTGGCTGCAGGCAGGACCCTGGATTCAAGGACTGTCCATCCAACTCTCTCCTCAAACAAATGAAGCAACTAAAGCCAGCAGAGCCAAGTCACACCATTGGGCCTTCAAAACATAGATTTGAGAGTCAAACGTGATCTCTCACTATTCTGTGAGCTTGAGGGCAGAAGATATATCTTACTCATCTCTGTATACCCAGAATCTAACACAAAGCATGGCATATAGAGTCAATAAATATATGTGGACTGACAAAATATGTGAAAAATGATGGACCTCGCCATTTAGCTAAAGGAAATTAGAAGCACAAATAACATCTAGGAGGGTCTAAGGACTGAAGTGGAATCTGTTTTTTCATGGCTCTCATAGAAAAGAGTAAAATTGTACTAGATACAAAGGATATACATTCCCAGGAGGATGCCACTCTCCTCGCTGGCCTTAGGTGCCCCCTAAAATCCTTCTTTCACCTTTGAGTTTGGCCAACCAGCACAAGATTCTTGGGTAGGGCTGGAAAGAAAGGGACAGTGAGTAGTTGTTTTTGTTTGTTGTTTTCCACCTGTAGTAGGAGAGAGCTTGCCAGAGAATGGCCTCAGTGCCATAGATGACTGAATTTTTCTAGCTTTGGTCGCTGCCATGGGGGCTTCCATGGATACCCTTGAGAACCTGTGGTCAGTAAAGCTCCCACACACTGGACGATGGGAATGAGCAGGGGCCTCGTTCTACAGTCTACCTTTTATTGGCGTGTTTTTCTCTTCCTTTCCAAACTTTTCTCTGGGGATTTTTCCTCAGTGTGCCGGCCAGTCTAGAAGTGGAGATATTGCATGGCTATTCTTGCTGCAGTTGGGTTACACTGCACATTTGTCTTTGGTGGTGGTCTCTTGCTCTTGACATAGCTGCATAGGTGCTTGGCATCCTTATGACCCTGCTGCATTAATGCAGTTTCGTTTCATTGTTGGCTGAGGGTGCAAAACAAGGTTGGAATTTGTGCCTCAAGAAGACCTGTAATAAGTTGGTGGGAGTTCTGACTCTCTTCAACTGGGTTTGATATATATTCTTTTGAGCAGAACACAAAGATCTCCACAGACCTCTAGGGCAAGAAGAAGACCAGTTAATATTATGCCAGCTTGGAACTCTTAAGATACTGTGTTTACTTGGGCAAAGCCACCAGATGAAGTCACAATTGAGAACAAATTCATGATTTTCATTCACCATAAGAGGGCACCATCGGCTTTGCTTCTGAACCTTTTGTTTTCATAGGGAAGCCTTCTTTAGTCCCTTCCTCTGGGAAAGGCCGATAACATTGTTGATTTACGAGCCAGTTGGTAATTTGAGAACTGGTAAGAGCAGCCATGTCTGTGGTCATTTCTATCCAGGCTTATGATTAATTCTTGCCTGATACACAATATATGAAAAATGTTCTCAAGAATAGCTGTGCCCCAAATGTGACATGAAAATAAAAATTTGCCTAATGGGGAAACAAGTGGTCAGAACCTCAGACTTGGGGGAGGAAGTGAAGAAGGCTTTAACTTAGGCCTCACATTTTTTGAGGACCAACATTTAGACTATTGATATTATCTCCAGATAAGATCATTTTGTGTTTGTGGGTTTTAAATGTGTTAATTTGTTAAATGTATACATTTAAAGTATACTGTAATTTTAACTCATCATTTTTTAATATGTGGAGAGACTTTCAAAATGTGACCCCTGAAAGGCAACATTGGATTGTAATAATTATTCTTATTTTGAAAACTTTGTCAGGGGCCTGGCCCAGTGGCAGTGTGGTTGGGTTTAGGCACTCTGTTTTGGTGGCCTGGGGTTTGCTGGTTTGGATCCCAGGTGCAGACTGACACATGGCTCATCAAGTCATGCTGTGGCAGTGTCCCACATGCCAAAAAAAAAAAAAAAAAAAAAAGAATAGAGGAAGATTGGCACAGATGTTAGCTCAGAGACAATCTTCCTCACCAAAAAAAAAGGAAAAAAAAGTTTGTCAGAAATGTATTCAAGAATATTTACTGAGTATTGCTTTGTGCTAGATGCAGATTTCAAGTTCAACTGCAAACTAAGCAAGTAAAACTCTTTGTCTGCAAACTTGTAACATTACTAAAAAGAATATTTTGCATTTTACATTATGCCTTCCGGGGTTTTAAAGCCTTCTCTGTAAGGTTTTGATCTTTGCAGCAGCCCTTTGAGAGGTGAGACAAGTATTTCCTCTGTTTTACACACAATGTATGCCTTTTAACAGGAATGATTTTATATGCTTTAAATATTTTAAAGAGGTAGATGAGAGTTCTAACAATATCAGCAGAAGCACTTACATGTGACCCAGATGTATCAAAAATGTAAAGAGAAAGTGCTTAAACCCAAATATGCATCAGCATCTGTGACAAACAGGGCAAGAAGGAGTCTCTTGGGGGAGCTAACATCTCCCACATTCTTCATTTGCATCCCCTACTGTTTTCGTGGGGATACTTAATGTCCTCCGAGTCTTTAGTAAATTGTCGTATAAATGCAACTTTGATGCCCCATTCCACCACCAAACTCCTCCTGCAGAGATCCCTTGAAACTGACAGCTTCTGCTCTCAGTTTGGCTGCAACTTTCTAACCCTAGCTGGTCTTGACTTCTCTGAGACTGAGACTCTTCATCTTGACAATGAGGAATTAGATTCTGATCTTTGAGATTACCCCACCCTTTATGAGTCTTAACGTATTACTACTGTAAGATGTTACAACACTGCTCACATCTGACATCCAGAGATAATCATTTTGGTTAGATAAATGCCAAGACAGTCTCACCTAATTTTGGAAAGGAAAAAAATCGTAAAGTTCACACAGAAAAAGAGATTATGTCATTGGTAATGGGCTTTGCCAACTATTTTTGGGGGAGGGGACAGTATCCAAAGTCTTTTGGTGAGTTGGTACCAAATAACTTTGAGATTGTGTTAAATATGCAGAGACTTGATTGTTGTACTCTCAGAAGAGTAATTTGATCTCTGGGATAGTTGGAGGAGAAAGGATTCCTGTCCTCCAAACCGGTAAGCTTTCCTGTAAAGTTCTAGGTGCTTTTACCGTAAGCATTTTTGCCATGAACATCTTTGCCGCAAACATTTTCACTGCGTAACTAATTGGCCACAAGGCAGTTTTGCCATGAAAGATAAAATAACTGCTTGACAGTTTGGTTTCAACTGGAAAATACGGTGATAAAACTGAGTGGAAGTGTAAAATAAGAGTGTAAAGCCAGACTACATACCATACAAGAAAATAACGCATCAGTTTGCAAGTCCTTTGTTGAGCACAGTCAATCCCTCCCACTCATCAAAACCAAAAGTTTACTAAGCTATGGCAAATATAAAAGAGGCAGCTAGTCATTCACAACAGTCTTCAAGAGCATTAATTATCGATTCTTTAGCTAATTTAGATACAACAGCTTGTTCTCTACTAAATTTATCGCGCCATATTGGAAGCCGGCGGCAAAAGAAGAAGCAACCTCCTCCTCCTCCTCTGACACCCTCCCGCAAAAGAAATGGCTATGTGATTCCTGGTGAATATTAGTTTCTTGAAAATGTGAAAATTTTTTGCTATTTGATAATGGAGAACATGATGTGAACAGAATTTTGGGTTTTGGCACAGAATCTGGCTTAGACGATTTGGTGAAATATAAGGACTGGGTGTGTGATGGAAAATTGAAATGTAGTCCAGATATGTAGTATATGTTTTATTGTGTCCTTTTTAGCATCCCTCTTTTATTTTTTTGTTACTTTATCTTTTACACAAAATTGCCTTACAGCCAATTAGCTAGGTGGCAAAAATCTTTGCAGCAAAGACACTTACAACGAGAATACCGGACACGTGTCAGAAAGACAATGCCAAGATAAAAATGATGCACAGGAAGTCATAATAAACTGGAGAAGCAGTGTCAAGCAGTCTATTAAGAGATGCTGTTTTTGGTCGCCCAACATGTTGTGTCTACTTTTTCCATGACATAGAGGGGACAACTGATGAGATTTTAACTGACTGCTTTCTCTGAGATGGTTGTACTTGAATATTGGACACAAACTTGTGTCCTGGGTGGAAAGGCAGAGAAGCTGGTGGCTCTTTTTCAACGTGCTGCGAGTAAGAGGAGAGCCTGGGCCCAGCAGGCTGAAGCTGTGGCTTCCAGATCTTGCTGCACAGGGCTTTATGGAACCAGCCCATAGAGAATATTCTTAGTGATAGAGGATGGCAGAACCAAAGAAGGAAAAGAATGGGTTGGTTGGGGCTGAGGGCTCAAAGGAGACAGTCCTGACAGCAATCTAATAGCTAAATCCAAATTAAGCAAACGTGCCAATGCCACCCACAAAAGAAATCTGTGAGGGCATGCAAAGCATCCAAGCATGATAGCTGAAACCAGGAGAGAAGGACAGCATGTGCTGAAAGGAAACTTGAGGGTTGACTTAATTTCTGTTGGCAAATCTGAGTGATATTTTACTTCTGAGCAGAATTCATTTGTAAGTCTGAGAAAATGACCTTTGATGGTCCCTTTGGACCACTGAGGGGCCTAAGAGTGAAGGAGAAAAAGCCCTTCCTGTTCTCTCAGAGATGCTGCTTGAGCCATGCAAAATTCAAGGACAGGACGATGTTTACCAGGAATGAGAAAGAAGAGAGTTCCTGGGTTGCCCTAAAAATGAACTGGAAAGAGCATTGGGAGAAGGCAAAGACTGAAGAGGAGC